TCTCCGCACCGCCTTGAAGTGGCCGTTACATTGATTCTGCCGACCAGAAGTGGAAAAAATATGGTTAAGTTAGACTTCGTCAACTTTTTTCGACACAACAATAACATGTGGCATCTCCATGTGTCTAACATAAATATTAAACTGTATTCGAGTGATTCATTGAAGTTCATACTTCGCGCAAGACTTGTGACTACCTAACAGTTAACTTACCCGAAACTCGAAACTAACCTGGCTTGGAAAATCTACTTATTTTGAGTTTAGAGTGTTCTGCTCTACAATGCTGTGAAGCAACTAACTTACTAACACTTGCAGTCGCCGCACACTCCGGCTTGGCTAAACGACTATCTTCGTGGTGCCGGTATGGAAATGTATACCGAGAAGCTCTCGCAGGCTTTTGTGGGGATGTCATTTCCTGAAGCAGCTGAGTAAGTGCTTGATTCGATTGCTAATAACCGAGTGCTGGATTAATGGTGTAATCACGCCAAAAAATTATGAATCATAGAGAGTCACAACGCTAAGTTGATAGTGAAGGCTTCCAAAGCTATAATGATACCAAGGCGAAGAAACTTGGTTAAAGGGCAGAAAAGTGGGAGAGAGAGGTAGAAGAAAGGAATGTGACATTTGCAGTGGGGTAGCTGATGATTCATATTTATGATCCGCGTCTTCGTGCTCTGCCTATTCACTAACCGTGCACAGAACCTGAAACTCTTAAGGTGATGCTGAGAAGACCCAGCTCAAAAATTGGCAGGTTTCCCATGAGCACTTAACTTCACAGATGGTACTGAGGGTTGCAATACTTCATTATTTGTTCGACATAGAATTTATAGGCTATCGCATCTTCTTAATGTTAGAATGCAATTTTCGTATCTCTATACCTATGAGAGGTGTTCTTCCACGAAAACTTTTCCTCTTTGACCTCTACTCTTCCTTTTTTGTGGAGACGAGCATTAACCGGCAGTTTCCTCCTATCCAAATCCAAAGAATGAGCAAAGCTAGTTTAGTCACGAGATACTCCCGATTGGCTGAATCTATACCTATGCGGGGCAGGTATGGAAATGTACACCGACACACTATCGCACTCATTCGTTGGAATGACATTTCCCGAAGCGGCAGAGTAAGCCAGAATGCGTGCTAAGACTAACCAAAGCTATAAATCCGCATCTAATATCGCTAATTTCCTTCTCAGCTATTGCCGTGACTTAATTATTAGGTTTCAGCGTTGGTAATAAAACTGTTGCAGTCTTCTCTTCACTCGGCTTGGACTTCTTTTGCTGGCCATCGAGCTGAAAGACGAGGAGAA